CTTAAAACCCACCCGGCACCAGGTTACTCATTGGGCTGGGCCCCCAAGCCCCTCTGCAGGAGAAAAAGGAGGCTTTGACTCCCGCGGGGCAGCTCTGAGGCAGAATCGACTCAGTGGCAGTGAGTTTGCTGTTGCTCTTCCCAGGCTGTGGCCCAATCAGCCGAACAAATTCAATGGGATTCCATCCCGCCGGCATGAGGGTCTGGGCCGCAGCCCATATTTTGTGCGGGGAGCACAATTGAATCCATCACACATGGTCACCAAGACACCAGAACTGCCATTGGGTCAGTGCCCACTCGGCGTGTCCCTGCAGGGCAGGGTGGAACTCCTGAAGGGAGCAGAGAGCCCCGTCCCCGTCCCCGCAGAGTGGCGGGTAGTTTCAAACTACTCAATTTGTGTGTCTTGTGGATCGCAACCCAATGTGACCAGGGTGCCACAGGTGGGGAGGGGCTAACAGTTCTCTTTCTGCATCAAGAAAGTGATAGGAAAGCCTGAACATCTGCTTCCCTTTCTTTGCGCAGAGCTATTGTCGAAAAATACCTGCTGGAGAAATCCCGCCTGGTCTCCCAGGAGAAGGACGAGAGGTAGGAGGGGATTGTGCCCATGCCTCCCTCGGTCAGTGCCCAGGTGGAGGTGGGTGCTCCGCTACAGGCCGAAAGGTCAGCGGCGCAAACCTGTCCGGGGCACCTCGGACTGCAGGCAGGTCGCGGTGTGCTCACCACAGCGGCTTGGTGGATGGCTGGGAGGCGGTGGGATGTGCAGCTGCTCTCTCGTCATTTTCTTTTTCTTTTTTGACGCCCAGCCCTTTCTTAGAAGGGGTGGGGATGGGGTAGCCTCTTCCCCTGTCTCCTCTGGGCCGTGAGCTCTGTGCTCGCCTTGCCGGTGCCACCTTCTCTCCCGGGGTTCTGTGTGCCCACTTTCCCAAGCCCAGTGAGGTCAGACGCAGGCGATCCGGGTTACCCAAGACGCCCGTCTCTTGTTAAACCAACGAGCATCTCCGTGACAAAACGCACAGCCATGACCACTTCCACACTGGGCTGTCCTTCACCTGGCCGCCCCTCGCTCCCTCCTATCCCCAGTCGTCCCACCACCCTGCAGAGAGACTCCATGCCCCTACACACACTCAGCCCCCTACCCCCGGGGCCCCTCGGCTCTCTGTCCATCTGCGGGTTGTGTGTATGTGTGGCCGCACGGACGGTATTTGTCCTTCTGCAACTGCCCCGTCTGGCTCCCTGTGGTGTCTTCAAGCTTCGTCCAGGCTGATGGTACACAACAGGGTTTCATCTGGCTTATTTTGCAGGGGGGGAAGGGTGGGTTAAGGCAAACAAGGACCGACCAGCGCTCTTAAATGCGCCCCCATTCGCGCTCCCTGCCATCATCCCTGAGCAGCACAGACCGACGGCACTCAGCCTCGAATGTGCAGGCTAGTGGTTGGATTCCGCCTGGAGGCGCAGCAGAGTCAAGGCCTGGCGATCCTGCCCCCAAAATAGTCCGGCCAAGAAAACTACCCAGCGCACACTTCTAGCTGTGTAACGGACGGACGGGGCTCAGCAGCCGGCCGAGGGCTTGGCCTCGGGGGCTCAGCCCCGCCCAGCGCCCGTCATTCTCCCCCCGTTGTGGCCCACAGGAACTACCACGTGTTCTATTACTTGTTGCTCGGGGTCAGCAAGGAAGAGCGCCAAGAATTCCAGCTCAAGCAACCGGAAGATTACTTCTACCTCAACCAGGTAAACAGCTCCCACAGCCCGGCCACAAACGGCCTCTCTGTTCGCCGCCTGCTGCTTCTGGGCCGCCGGGAGCCCAGAGGTCATCCGCCCTGGCTGTCCTTGGCTCCCAGGCCAGCTCCTCGGAGCCAGAGGAGGCGGCACAAAGGACCCATTGAGTCCCAAGTCCTGGCCCCACCCACGGGCTCCCGCCAGAATCTTTCCACACGCTACCCACGCCCCTCCAGAAACGCCATGCGTCCTGAGACTGGCCAAGCTACAGAGACCGTGGCAACAGCCCCCCACCAAACTGTCCTCACCCCCAACACACACACCCCGCAGGTTCGGGAGATCCCCCCACCCCTTTACCAACTGGCTGCAAACTTGTGGCACGCTCTGGCCACCTTGGCTGCATCCTTTCCTGGAAACCAGGGAAGCCCTGCCTACGATGACGGGTGCGTTTCAGCCCCAGGAAGGGGTGCTGGGGCAGGGTCTGGGCAGGTCCCCACGAAGAACTTCCCATTAGCCCCTCCCTGGGGACCCTGGACAGGGTGACTCCGGACCTCCAGGGTGACAAGCAGCACACATGTTGAGCTCCCCGAGCCTGGGCGTTCAGGGACCTCACTGTGTCACAGTCACGCCCAGATGTGATTGGCGCCTGTGTGGTGGCCTCTGCCTTCTTTGCACCTTTGCTTTTTGACTCTTCATTGTGAGCGGAGGGAAGGTGCACAGAGCAGGTCATGAGTCTCCGTTCAGCAGTCTGCACATGTTCTGTAGCATCTCACGCTTTGCAGCCCTCTTACCCCAAGCCCGCCTCAGGTCTCCTCTGGTGTCCGTTGCTCCTCCTGACCCTTCTGGACGTTGTCCCGTGGTAAATGCTTCCCTTTGGATCTCAAACCAAATGGCGGATTATCCAAAGGTGTGCATATCTTCTCCACAAAAAAACAACCTCACTGCCAACTAGTCAATTCCAGCTCACCTGGCTGCGGTTCCAGTTCCCCTTAGCCAAAACCAGGAGTCCTGGTGGCAGGGTGGTGACTTGTCTGGCTGCTAACTGCAAGGTCAGCAGTTCAGGACCACCAGACGGCACTTTCTACTCCTGTCGACAGCTACCGACTTGGGAACTCTCAGGGGCACTTCTGCCCTGTGACTCGATGGCAGTGAGTTTGGTTTGGTTTTTAAGCCATCGAGTGTGGGTTCCAAGTCAGAGCAACTGCCCCCGGGGCTCCCGGCACCCCGAATCTACCCAGCAATAAAAAGCCGAACCGTTCTCCCGAAGAGTTGCCGGTGATTTCAAACAGCTGACCTTGAGGTCAGCAGCCTAGCGCGTAGCGCCCTTCGCCACCCAGGCTCCCGTATGTCCCTTGTACAGGTCTATTGTTTGGCTGAACTGTTGAGCCACGGGGTGAGTTCAGGGCCAGACCTGCGGGTGACTGAGGGCCGTAGCCTCGGGGATGCTATGCCGTCTCCAGCCGGCCAGTGAGTGTGTTCTCTCCTGGGACCTGGAGTTTTGTGGCGGACTGACCTTTCATCTCTGTTCCCTGGAGACCCGGGACCTGCTGCTGAATGGCCCAGAGTCCCCCCCCACCCCCCATCTCTCAGGTCCCAGAACTGCCGTCACAGAAATTCATCAAACAAGCGTCTGTAAGAAAAGTGTTTTTGTTAGATTCCTCGGGTGGGCAATCCCGCGGTCCTTAGCTTCACACGAGGAAGAATCCACACCGGAGGCTGGTTTGTGATCCAAGTGGGTTTTATAAAGGAGAGGAAGTTTCCGGACCCCACCCCCCCCCACCACCCCCCCCTACACACACACACACAGAGAGAGAGAGAGAGAACGTGCAGAGGAGCAGCGGAAAAGAAGGTGGTGGCCTCCATGTTCCAGCTTTTGGGGCCCGCAGCAGGGAGGTGTGGTCAGCAGTACTGGCTGACCCCATTGGCTGGAGTAAGCCCACCTGGCCTAGTTTGAGCCAAGCCAAGTGTACCACACACTTACATGGACTGCCCACCTGGCTCAAGGTCCTGAATTGGCATATGCCCTTTAGCCTTTATCAGCTTCCAACTTCCTATAGGGGGCCCCGTAGGCACAGAGAGGAACAACCCCCTAACATTTTCTCCTAACTCTTGGGGGCGCTGTGGGGCAGGGCCTTCCAGGTCTGTTTCACCAACTAGCAGCAGCTTGCGATAGGCTGGCGGCCTCCGCTCCCCGCCTCCCCCACCCCCCTCTAACTGCATGTCTGTCCACTCAGAAGCAGGTAGTGTTAGGCCTCAACAGTGGGGTCTTACTCATCCATCAAAGACACCCAGGATGACCAGGGACAGGAGTCAGGGTACCAGCTCGTCATAGTCAGGGGACCCAGTTCATCTCATAACGATTGCCAAGCCCCCAGGGAGAGCCACAGCCACGCCTGAGTCTAGGCAAGGCCAGTTCTTCACTGGGGGGCCCTGGTGGCGTGTGGCTTGCGCTTTGCACTGCTAAGTGCAAGGTCGGCAGTTCAACCCCACCAGCTTCGCTAAGGGAGACAGAAGAGGCTTTCTGCTCCTGTGAAGATTTCCACTTACGACCCAGGTGGCAGTTCTGCCTTGCCCTAGGGGTGTCTTTTATATATTTATTTTTGGTGGGGGAGAATGCCAATTTGTCACTGCTGTCTGAATTTCCAGAAGTGGCTGTGGCAGAAATAGGGGTGACTATAAAGACCAGGACTGTATGGCCTCGCAGCTCCAGAAGGAGGCCACTTGGCTGGCTGGCTGGCTGCCAGCTACGTCAGAGCCACGCTTCCTCCGCTGCCTCTGGTTGCCCTGGGCGGTGCTTGGCGTTGCCGGCTCGTGGGCAGATTCTCCTGTGCCTGCCTTCCCCTGAGCCTTTCTCCCGGCCTGTTTGGTTTCCTCCCCCTTCCTGGGGTAGTTTATGTTTCACACTGGCTCGTCCTCTCCTAGAGCTGTGGGCGCCCATTGACCTGGGCGGCCTGGGTTCCATGCCCACGTGGTGTAGCGTGTCCCTGTCCCTTCTTGCACCCTGGGCAGTTGGTAGGATCCGGTGGTAGCCCCACTGGGCCCCGGGCAGCCCCATGCTCCTAACCCAGTGTTCCCAGGCTGGCCCATGCCGCCCCCACGGCTGGGGCACTGGAAGGATCCCACGGGCCTGCAAAAGCAGATACCACACTTTATCCCAGATTAGGGGCTAGCGTGCAAAGGCTTCTAATGGCGGGGCGGGGTGGGAGCCAGTGAGATAAATAAGTTTAAGAATCTGTGTCAAACCACTCAGAGCTCCTGGGCCCCCATCTCACCTCCACCTGCTTCCCTCCTGCCCCAGTCAGGTCAGACAATCCTCCAGCCCTGTCTGCCCTTACCTGTTCTGACAGCGACCGTCCCTCCCAGGCACTCTCCTACTGCCAGGTGCGGTCATTTGCTACAGGAGCCACACTGAGCTCCCTCCCCGAACAGTACGCAGGGTTAAGGGGGGCTTATTAAGGGCGTCCAGGAGCCCTGGTGGCATGCGTGGTGGTTAAACCGCACTGAGTTCACCACAAGGTCAGCAGTTCGAAACTACCAGCTGGGTTGGAGAGCTGGGAGAAGGGCTTTTTACTCCTGTACAGAGTGACAGCCTGGAAGCCCACAGGGGGCTCTACCCTGTCCTGCAGGGTTGCTGTGAGTCGGCGTGGACTCCGGGCAGTGTGTCGGGTCTGGGTTAGGGGAGCTGACCAGTCGCCAAGATCAGAAAGCAGCAGGCCAGTCATTGGTTCACAGTTACACCCCTCCTCAGCCTCGAACCAAATCTCGCGCTGGACCTCAGCTTCTCAGCCACATGGCCCCTTGGCCTCTGCCCCCACAGGTCAGACAGCCGGCCGCTGCTTAGCCTCCTAGTCTAGGCTCTCATCCCCTGCTCCATCTCAGGGTCTCCTGGCCTCGGCCTTCTCCCCTTCACACAGAGATCGTAATGTGCTCCCCTGACGTGGCCCTGCGAGTTTTCTCTCCTGCAGAGAAGGCTCATCCTTACAGCCAGAGGAGTGGCAGCTAAAACCGACCGGTCCCTGCAATCGGTGTTATGCACGCCCCTGTTCCATGCTGTTGTTACCGTCAGATTCTGGCTCATCTCGGCCCGATGTAACTGCCTAACAAACACGGCCCGGCCCTGCGCCGTCCTCGCCGCCGCCGTGACATCTGAGCACACCCTTGCAGCCGCCGTGCCAGGCCATCTGGTCGAGGGTCTTCCCCCTTTGGGCTGCCCTTGTGCTTTACCAAGCGTGGCGTCCTTCTCCAGGTCCAGGCACTGGGCTCTCCAAAGCCCATGAGCCTTGGCAGGGCCCCACCCAGTCTGGTGGGGGTAACGGAGGCATGGGTAGAAGAACCCTGCTCCAGAGCTTCAGGACCTGACCCGACCGGTCACGTCGCCCAGAGCAGCCAGTGCTGGGGCTGCAGTCCCCAGTGGAGTGAGGGGGCGGGGGGCACGCTCCGCTCTGACCCCCCCTGTGTTTCAGCATAACTTGAAGATTGAGGACTCGGAGGACCTGAAGCATGACTTCGAGCGGCTCAAACAGGCCATGGAGATGGTGGGCTTCCTGCCGGCCACCAAGAAACAGTGAGTGTCCACGACTGCCCTCACCCCCACGCCAGCCCATCCGCTTTGCTCTCCAGTCAGACAGTGGGAACGGCACCCAGGGGCCTGCCCAGGGACGGTGAACACAGGAAAGGGGCTCGCGGCGTGAGCCACAATCCGCGGGTGTGCGTGTCAAAACCACCCAGGGCCCCCATCACCACCCCTGCCAGGAGGGTGCAGGTGGGCATCCCACGCTGAGAAACAGGGTGGCATGTTTACTGCAGTTGGGCATCGCAAACCAAACGCACACACCCCACACCAAAGATGCTCATGAATGCCCACAGCGGCCTCAGTAAGAGCCATCGGGACACTGCGCCGTTGTGGGGGGTGGGGAGTGTCAGGTTCACCCAGAAGTGCCTCGGGAGAAAGGCCTGCAGAGCTGTGTCCCAAAATAATCAAATCGGTCATTGACAACTCCATCAAGAACCACACGCCGTCACCTTGTGGCGAAATTGGCTCCACAGTGATACTAAAGCCAAATCAAAAGCTCCCTTGTCGGGCTCCTGGGGCCGCTGTGAAAAGTGGCCCCACGTGGGAGGCCTGTAAAAGCAGGTGTGCATTGTAGAGTCCAAAGCAAGGTGTCATCAGGGCCTTGATCTGGTGTGCTTAGGTCCCCATCCCCTTGGTGGCCCAGACGTTCCCTGGCTCCAACATGTATCTTCACGGGATGCCCGTCTGCTGCCTGTGGGCTTCTTGCTGTGTCCCTTTGGCTCTCATTATGAGTCCCCTCTCCAAAGTGATTAGATTTAGGACCCACCCTGCTCCCCCCCACGAACACCCCCGCCATCTTCGTCTCCCAGAGCTGCTGGGACAAAGCTTCCGACAGGGACCTTCAAAATGGCAGAAATGTGTGTTCTCGAAGCCCGAGGCCCAGAGCAGTGCTTCAGGCGTGTTGGCCCCTTGTCCGGTGCCCAGAGCGTTTCGTGCCTCTTTGGCTCACAGAGGCTCCCCAGGTGGCACAGGTCTTCCTGCTACAGTCATGCAGTGTATGTTCTGCCTCGGATGCCTACTCAGCTGTGAGCGCATTAGCATCCCGCAGAAAACCGGCTTTCTGAGCGGTATCGCCTCCCGCATCCCGGGCTGAGGACTTGCACTCTTCGCCCTAAGATACCACCGGGCGACGGGTCCCCAGGGGGTTTCTCTGGAGAGGGCCAGAGAGTTAGAGTTTAGACTGCATACCAGGCAGCCTCGTGCGGTTTCTTCCTTGTTTGGGGTTTTTAACACTCCTCTAAAAGTTCGGAGACGCCCTGCTGGTGCTGGCCTGTAAGTGCTGGGAACTGCAAGGGTGGCTGTTCAAACCCACCAGCCGCTCCTCAGGACGACGACGAGGCTGTCTGCTCCCATATTTACAAAGCCTCGGAAACCCAGCACAGGGACGCGGTAGGTTTGCCTGGTTTGGGGTAAAACCCTAAAAGTCAAAAAGGAAGACGAAAACTCACTGCCATCGAGTCAGTTCTGATTTAGAGGGGCCCTCTAGGGCAGAGCAGAACTGCCCTGTGGGTTTCTGGCACTGTGACTCTCTAGGGGAGCAAAAAGATGCCCCTTTCTCCCACAGAGCGGCTGGCGGTTTCAAACTGCTGACTTGCAGTTAGCAGCCCAACGAGTAACATGTTGCCACCTGGGTACCTCCTTTTAGCTTTAGGAAGCCCTACAAGATCCATCTGCAGCCAGGTGGGACCCCCGGCCCACACAGCCCTGGGGGTCTGCAGGCGTTTGGGGTTGACAGCGTTTTGTTGAGGGATGGAGACCAGCGATGCCGCGTCACATGTTACAAGGCAGAGGGTGGCGGCCACCACAGAGGAGGTTCCAGAACCAAAAGTCAGCAGTGCCAGATGGGAAGACTGCTCGCCGGGATGAGACCTAGCAGACTCGGTTCCCTGGAGTGGGGGGGGGGG